TGGGAGAGAGGGAGGGGGTTGGGAGAGAGGGAGGGGGTGGGGAGGAAGGAAGGAGGGAGAGGATGGGAGAGAGAGGGAGGGGGTGGGGAGGAAGGAGGGAGGGAGAGGGTGGGAGGGAGGGAGAGGATGGGAGGGAGGGAAGGGGGGAGAGAGGGAGGGGTGGGGAGGAAGGAGGGAGGGAGAGGATGGGAGAGAGGGAGAGAATGGGAGAGAGGATAGGAGGTGGGGAGGAAGGCGGATGAGGAAGGGAGAGAGGGAGGGGGTGGGGAGAAAAGAGGAAGAGGAGGGCAACGGGAGAGGCTTGGCTAGGAGGAACCGCGCGAGGGAGGGGGTGAGGAGGAAGGAGAGATAGGAAAGGGGAGGATAGGAGGGACCGGGTGACGGAGTGGGTGGGGAGGAATAGAGGAAGGAATAGAACGATAGAATATAGGATAGGAGGCACTGGCGAGAGAAAGTGTGGGGAGGAAGGAAGAGAGGGAGGGAACGCGTGAGAGAGGGAACGAGAGTTGAAAGAAAAAGAAGATAAATAGATAGACGGCCAGACAAATAGACAGATAAATAAATAGGTAAAAAGAATCAAAAGAGAAAAGGGCGAGACAGAAAAGACAAACAAAAAAAAGAAAAGAAAAGAAAAAGAGATCATCAAGGTACCAGAAAAAAAAGAAAATGGGAAAAGAAGAAGAAGAAGAAGAAGAAGAAAAGGAAAAGAAAGAAGAAAAAAAAGAAACAGACACGATAACGATTTCGAAACCATATTTTCATAACGGTTAGATGATTAGATCGTTGAGAGAGAGAGAGTTGCCTCGTTTAAAATTCAAAACCGACGACGCTAAATTCACCGCGAGAGAAGCTTTGTTGATATGGCGCGGTTAGACCATAAAACAATTGGCTCGTCCCCCCTTTCGAGATTTCTTTTTTTCTTTTTTTTTCGCCCAGGATCGCCATACATAACGATCTGAGAAAAAAATAAGATGGTTCGTTCTTCCTGTTAATGGCTTGAGATTCGTTTAGTTACGTTGTAGGTAGGTAGGTAGTTTTCTCAATGAACGACAATTTTCTTTTATTATCTATTTACTTTCGTTTTTTTTATGTTGTTATGATGTCCCTTCTCGTATTCCTTGTTATTCTTGTTTCTGCTTATTTTCTGTTTATCTGCTTTGATTTTTTTTTTTTTTTTAATTTTTTCATTTCTTCATCACTCTTTTTCCTATCCTCCCTCATTTCTTCCCTTTCCTCCTAAACCTATTTCTTCTTTTTTTCACCATATAGGTCTACATGCCCACCTCTCCACTCCTCCCTCCCACCCCCATCTCTAAATCTACTAACACCCCTTCCCATGCCACTCTCCCCTCCTCGTCCTCCTCCTCCTCTTCCTCTTCCTCTTCCTCTTCCTCTTCCTCTTCCTCCTCCTCCTCCTCCTCCTCCTCCTCCTCCTCCTTTCCCCTCTTTCCCCAGCCTCTCACCTCCTCCTCCTCCTCTACCTCCTCCCTTCCCCTCTTTCCCCAGTCTCTCACCACCACCACCACCTCCTCCTTCTCCTCCTCCTCCTCCTCCTCCTCCTCCTCCTCCTCCTCCTCCTCCTCCTCCTCCTCCTCCTCCTCCTCCTCCTCCTCCTCCTCCTCCCTTCCCTTCTCTCCTTCCCTTTCTTTCTCTAGTTAGCACCTTCGGCCGCCTAGATTTAGTGCTAGCTGTAAAGACTGGTCTGGAAAGGACGAAATAGCACTCCCTTAGCTGGGGAAGTTAGTGAATGTGCGGAGGGGAAGGGAGGGGAAGGGAGGAGAGGAGAAAGAGGGAGAAGAGAAGAGGCTAACGTTATTGTTATTACGTTTTTCAATACTCTAAAAGTACCGGAAAAAATATATATAAATATATATATGTATATATATATTTTTTTAACCTGTTGATTATCCTTCTGTAAGGTTGAATTCGGCAACTGCTGAATGGGCGCTGAAGTTGCACATTATGGCTGGTTCTTTAATGTTTTGGAATTAATGCATATAATGTTTTGTACATTAGTGTATTACTAATATCTTGTGTAATGCGTTGAGTAATCAATATAATTGTCTTAAATGTATGTGCCTATGTGCGCTTAATGAAAGTATACATACATATATATATATATATATATATATATATATATATATATATATATATATATATATAAGTATGTATATGAATGTGTATCTATCTATCTATCTGTGTGTGTATGTGTTTGTGTTTGTCTGTGTACGTAGGTTTGCTTGTACAGATAGGTACATATATATGTTTATTTTTATATATATATATATATATATATATATATATATATATATATATATATATATATATATATATATATATATAAAGAGGACGAGTGAGAAATAAAGCTAGAATATTTCCGATAAACACATGCTGGACTGTCGCCCACCTTCCAGGAACACACAGGTGGTCTGGAGGAAAAATATAGATCCTTCTCCGGGAAATTTAGGATTCACCGTCGTCGTGAGTTATGTTTTCTCGATGGTAGGATTACAGGCTGCCCAGGGGTGAGGCCGGGGACTTCCCTCTTGCGCGGCTGGTCACGGGAACAGGCAGCTGAGTCGGGGTTGCGCCTTAGGATTCGTGGTGGTGGAGGAAGTGGTGGTGGTGGAGGAAGTGGTGGTGGTGGAGGAAGTGGTGGTGGAGGAAGTGGTGGTGGTGATGGTAGTGGTGGAGGAAGTGGTGGTGTTAGAGGTGGTGTTCGAGCTGGTGGTGTTGGTGATGGTGGAGCTGGTGGTGTTGGAGATGGTGGGTGTTGGTGGTGCTGATGGTGGTGTTTGTAGCGTTGCTGCGTGCGTTGGAGGTGATGGTGATGGAGATGGTGTTTCTGCTGGTGTTGGTGGTGGTGTTGGAGGTACTGCTGCTGGTGTATGAGATTGTGTTGTTGGTGGTGCTAGACGTGGCGCTGAAGATAGCTTTGAAAGTGGTGTTGCTTCTGGTGTTGAAGCTGGTGTTGAACGATGTCAGAGTGTGTGTTTCTGCTGGTGTTGGGGCCGATATTTCTAGCGGTGTTAAGTGTTCATTTTGCTGATGTTTTTTATAAACAGTTATTACCAGTGGTGTTAGAGGTGGTGATGTTAGTGGTGCTAACGACATTCTTAATGGCATTTCTAACTGATATCTTTAATGGTGTTCCCCAATGGTGTTACTGACGATAACGCTGTTGGTGAACTATAACAATGGCCAAGTCCAGATGTATTTCAAGGGCAAATGTTCTTCATGGTGTTCAATTATGCTGTTCTGCCGGATGGGGAAGTATGGTCCTATGCCCTTTTATGCGGTGGTGATGGTGGGGTACATACTACAGGTGTTGCAATACCCTAGTCTGCAAAGCGAAGGTGGCAGCGTACCTGCCTTTCGTGCAACTTATGGTAATAACTGTGTACCCAACTTCACCTGCAGTTAGTGATATTTTTTGTCCTTTTTCCCCCCATTTCGTTTTTTTGTTTGTTTGTTTTTTGCTTGTCTTGCTTATTCTTTCTTATTATATTCCTCTTCTTGATTCCTCTTTACAACTTCTTTCCTTTTCTTCCTTCTTCCTTTCTCCTTCTTCCCTCCCTCCTTTCCTTCTCTCCCCTCCCTCCTCTCTTTCTCTCCCCTCCCTCCTCTCCTTTTCTTCCCCCCTTCCTCCCCTTCTCTCCCTTCCTTCCTCTCCTTCTCTCCCCTCCTCTCTTTCTCTCCCTTCCTTCCTCTCCTTCTCTCACCTCCCTCCTCTCCTTCTCTCCCCGCCCCTCCCTCTTTTCCTTCTTTTCTCTCCCTCCTCTCCTTCTCTCCTCTCCCTCCTCTCCTCTTCCCTCCTTCCTTCCTCCGTGCGCGGCATTTTACTCACTCATTCACCATTAATGTCGTGTCACACTTAATGAGTAATGAGAAGGAAAAATGAGGGTAATTCGTCACGTTAATGAGTTTATGGCGATGAGGAAGCGACCGACATTCTTTGCCAAACCTCTTTAAACGAAACCAAATTCGTTTAAAAAAAAACATAAACTAAAGAAGATGAGATATAGAGATATGAGGGGGAGAAGAAGAAGAAGAAAAGAAAAAGGATAATATGAGATCTGTGAATTAAAAAAAAAACATATTTTAGAAATATTTTCACCATCTAATCTGCATTCAGAATACGTCCATAAAAAAACATCATCTTGTTAAAAAAAGATAATGATAATAAATAAATAAAATAATAAAAAACGAAAGGTAAAAAAAACTAATTACAAGAATAAAAAAAGAAGAAATTAGCAACCGTCATTCACAAAGAAGGAAAAAACGTAAAAAAAAAAAAAAAAAAAAAAAAAAAAAAAGCCATTGCCCTTCGCTTGACACGCCGCCAGCATGATCCCTGCCTCCGAAAAACACTCAGAGCTTCATGCCTCTTGAGAGTAAATTCTGAGACGGATGGATTCTACGCCAAAGACCCTACTTGCACGGTCACGCCATATTGGATTTCGTTCGCTTTGTCTCCAGTTGGAATTACTTGTTCTTTCTCCCTTTCTCCTTTTTTTTTCTTTCGTACGTAGTTTTCTTTCTTCTTTTTCTTTCTTTTCTTTGATTTTTTTCTTTTTTCGTTCTGATTCTCTCTTTTATGGCTCTCTCTCTCTCTCTCTTTCTCTCTCTTTCTCTCTCTCTCTCTCTCTCTCTCTCTCTCTCTCTCTCTCTCTCTCTCTCTCTCTCTCTCTCTCTCTCTCTCTCTCTCTCTCTCTCTCTCTCTCTCTCTCTCTCTCTCTCTCTCTCTCTGTGCTTTCTTTAGACATACACACACACACACACATATATATTATCTAATTTATCCTCTTAATAGAAGCTGCCCCACGATACTAAAAAGCATTTCTAGTATCATCTAAAGACCAACAGACGGTATTTATTCCCCTCCAAATAGTCTTCCATTGAACAAAAAAAACAAACAAACATAAAAACAAATAGGATGTATACAAATAGGATTATTTATTAATATTATTTATTAACCTTTTTTTCTCCTCTCTTTGCAGAAAACCAATGGCGAGGTCTGACAGCCAATTGGAACGGCCTACCATGGAGTAAGTATCTCTGTGGTAACTACAAATGCGTTTAAGTCATTTTTAAAAAAAATAATGATTTATTTATATATATATTATTTTGTTTGTTTATAGATTTTTTTTTTCTCTTCATATTTTGTTAGGATTTAGTCACATGACCCCCATCTGAGGTTTAAAGAAAAGATCTCAGCTGGGGATCAACCACAGGGTCAGAGGTTAAAGTCAGAATGGTTGATATTAGGTCAGTGAATGATTCATCCTTTACGTGTGTTCGCTATTGCACAATTGCACGCACCTTTACAATTGCTCTTCCTGTGAAAAGGTTCAGAAATGGGAAAAAAATACACGGAATTCCTGAAGAGAAACAAGGAGAAAGAGAGAGAAAAAAATGAGAGAGGGAGAGAGAGAGAGAGAAAAAAAAAATGGATAGCAATTCACAAAAGTCGATGTTTATTGCATTTTTTTTCTTTCTTTCTTTTTTTTTTTTGCTTTAGTTTTTGTTTTTTAATGATTCAGGCTTTTACTTACTGGTATTAATAAGATTTTAGACCTTACGCGTTTCCTTTCTTATCTCGTCTAATGCAGCCGTTTCTTGCACTTAACTATTTCATTATCGCACTCTTAAAATGGATGAATTTATACTTAATTTTTTGTACAATATCAAAGTAACGACTGATTCATCATGCATATTTAGGAGTTTCTAATAATTTCTTCATTATTCATATTTGTTTTTATCTTTTTGTTTAATGTCGCTCGTTTTCTTTCTCCGCTGTGTTTATTACCTTATTCTACCGTTGATAAAAAGTAGAGACAGAGAGATAGATAGAGAGGGGGGGAGACCATGAGAGAGACAGAGATAGAGAGAGAGAGAGAGAGAGAGAGAGAGAGAGAGAGAGAGAGAGAGAGAGAGAGAGAGAGAAGAGAGAGAGAGAGAGAGAGAGAGAGAGAGAGAGAGAGAGAGAGAGAGAGAGAAAGAGAAAGAGAGAGAGAGAGAGAGAAAGATGACCTCTCCAAAAAAAGATTGTATAAAAGGATTTACTTTAAATTGCGCAGATATCAGAAAGTCATTATCTTGGGAGTTTTAATAGCGGTTTGGAACGTGCAATGCTTAAATGTGATAACGCAAGCAAATCTAAACCTTTTTATAGCTTAACATTAAGGGTCATATTTGGGTGATTAACATACGCAGACTCACTAGTACAGCGGTGAGTG